CCTGTCGTTTTACAAAATATTTCTATAACTAATCAATAATAATCTATTTTCTTTTTCATTTTTTACTATCTTGATTTTTCTTTTCCTTCTAAAGGCCTTTCCACATATCTCTTTTGATTTCTTATTTTAACATGCCATTTTCCTTTTGCAATTCACTTCACTTCACTTTATCCTTTGCACTTATACACCCTATTCTACTTTCTTTACAATCAATTTCGCCTTATACTTCAACATATTTCCTATATTATAATATTATTTGACCTTTCTATTAACTACTGAATTCCTTGTAGATCCCACTTTAAATTTGACATTTTTCTGACATATTCTTTTAATTAATGTACAAATTTGTCTTTAGATCTTAATATCTTTTATTAACTATTCTTCTACCNCGACATGGCGCCCAACGTGGGGCTCGATTCGAACTTCCGATGTCTCCACCGAGGTCCCATGTCAATATGGCCGATACAAACGATCATGCTTCACGACAAAGGCCTTTCCACATATCTCTTTTGGTTTCTTATTTTAACGTGCCATTTTCCTTTTGCAATTCACTTCACTTCACTTTATCCTTTGCACTTATACACCCTATTCTACTTTCTTTACAATCAATTTTGCCTTATACTTCAACATATTTCCTATATTATAATATTATTTAACCTTTCTATTAACTACTGAATTCCTTGTGGATCCCACTTTAAATTTGACATTTTTCTGACATATTCTTTTAATTAATGTACAAATTTGTCTTTAGATCTTAATATCTTTTATTAATAATTCTACCTTATTTTTTAACTATTTAATAAAACTGGCATTTTAACTTTTGTTTGATATCTACCATTCTGCATTTTAATTAATTTCAACTATATTTTTCTTATAATATCCTGGCATATACTCCACTTAACTACAATGATAATAAATTTTATACTTGAATTTTGGAATTTGTACTGATCTACTAATCCGACTTTCTTCTACTGATTCCTAATACTTATTCAATACTAACAACTTTTTTTTAGCAAATAATTTTCTTTATTTTGTAATAACCATTCCAACCATTCCCTTTACCGCTTTGTCTTTTAAATAGCAATTTAATTTAAATTTTAATTTTCTCTCGTTAAGTAATCTGATTTCATCTCAATATATTTTATATACATTTATGCCATTATTACATTATAAACTAAATTAAGATGTTTATCGTTTATACTGAGTGTTTCATGAAGTTCTCCCGGCACTAATAGAGGATGTTTCTTGGGTTATTTCTAGGAAAAAAGTTCATATAAACGTGTCCAATTTGCTTTACTTATTGAGCTACACGAATCGGTAATAGTGATACATACATTCTTAATTTAAAAGGTTTTCGAAAATACCACCTCCTACTTCAATACATTTGTCAGCACGCCTGTGAATTGCTCGCGTTGCATTTCTAATATTCGCGTGCTTTTCTTTTATTTGCATTGCAGCATTAACAATTCTTTGGATTAGAGCTTCGCGTGTTTCCACTTTCTCTTGATAAACCAAATCCTTCATCCAACCCCACATGTTGTAATCTAACGGATTGAGGTCTGGAGACCTAGCTGGCCAAATGTGTGGCCCACCTCGACTGATTCAGCGACCAGGGTAATGCTCATTTAGGTGAGCACTGACAATTCGGGAAATATGAGGTGGAGCTCCATCATATTGCAAGTACATTCTTAATCGTCTTGCCAGAGGTAAATCTTCAAGCAATCGCGGGAGTTCTTCCTCTAAAAATTGTAAATACTTTGGTCCATTAAGACGACCTTCAATAATAAATGGCCCTATAAGTTGATCGTATAACATTCCACACCACACGTTAACGCTAAATCTACGTTGAAAATTACTTTCTACGGTGGCATGAGGGTTGACGTTTGACCATTGATGCATATTATGGGTTTTGTTGATACCATCTCTGGTAAATTGTGACTCATCCATAAATAAGATGTAGCGATACAAATTCCTATTATTCAACCACTGACAAAATTCTACCTGCCTAGGGAAATCTTCTGGCTCCAGATGTTGAACAGGCTGTAGATGGTATGGATACAGCAGATTCTTGTTTAATGTTCTCCATACCCTGGTATTGGGAATCACTAAAGGCGTGGATATCCGTCGTGTACTAACACCGGGATTATGCTCGGCCATAGCAAGGATACTCTCTTCTTCTACAACACTCTGCTGACTTACCCGTTCAAAGTGAATGTGAACACTTGGAAGTGAACCAGTTTCTCTGAGTGCATGAAAAGTTGTGGTAAACGTTTTCGGAGATGGAATGCGACGATTTGGGAAACGCCGTTGATATTCCAGTGAAGCTAGAGTAGCATTTCCATCGCAATTACCCAAAAACAAACACCATATCGGCATACTCAGCAGTCGTAAACTTAAAAGGCATTGTTCGCGAATTTTTAAAATTGAATCTTCACACTAAACTGCAAGCTTGTCAAAACTGACAGTAACCTAGATAACATTTTACCTTGCAAATGTCGTCAGAGCACATTTGACCAATGCGTAGCGCGCCGAGACGTAACGCAACAAATTTGATTATTACTTTTTACATTTAAATTTCAAATTCATTTAGAAAGTACTATTTCTGTGAATCGGCAATAATAAATGTTTGTGATGAATGGTTAAATGCTTTGGAAAGTAATAGGGTTATTCTTGTTGTATTCCTGGACTTAAGAAGGGCATTTGAGACTATAAACAAACAGTTACTAGTTGATAAGTTACAAGCAATAGGATTAAGAAATAATGTATTGAAATGGTTTGACAGTTATTTAAGTAATAGGTATCAGAGTTAAATTTAAATCAGCAACATCAGATGCAATACTAGTAAAACATGGGGTTCCACAGGGCACCATTTTGGGGCCTGTATTGTTTTCAATATATATGAATTAAAGTAGTAAATGTCATATTTCATTGTTTGCTGATGATACAGTTTTATATATTGAAGGATTTGACTATTTTTCAATGAGTGATCAAATGAATCAAGAACTGAAAATGATTAATGACTGGTTGTGTAGTAATAGTATGCTGTTAAATTTGGAAAAAACAAAATATATGATTATAGGTAGGGGCAGTATAATGAATAAAATTAATGAGGTAGATTATAGAATTACTATAAATGATCATGATATTGAAAGAGTTTGGGAAATGAAGTATTTAAAGGTTATTTTGGACGATAAATTGAGTTTTAAAGAATTGTGATAATCATATTAAATTTAAAAGTATGTTAAAGAAATATGTGCTTGAAGTATTTTAGTAACCAAATTTTGTAGTTCGTTATGTTTTGAATGTGTGTGTCTTGGTGTCGTGTTGGAACTGACACGGAGCTAGAGGATGTATACACTTGTGAAAATTGTTATTTTTTTTAGTATTGGCTAATAAAATATTATTATTATTATTCATGTAGCTCACAAAGTAAAGCAAATCGGACACATGTTTATATAAACTTTTTTTCTAGAAATAACCCAAGGAACATCCTCTATTAGTGCCGGGAGAACTTCATGAAACACCCGGTATTCTTAAACAAGATGCAGCTTTTTCACTACATATTTCTTTAGGCAAATATTAATAATTATTATTTTGGGAAATTGTGAAACGAATATATCAATGTTTTATCATAATCTTTCTTGCAAAAATCACATATTAATTTACAAAATAATTCGAATTAACACAAACAGAACTTAATTAATATATCTATGTTGGAGGCGGATAAAAAGGCCTATGAGGCTGACTTGGAGGTGGAGCATTTGTGGGGAAAAATGGTGGTCCTCCAGGGGGTACCACAGTTGTAAAGGGAGGGGGATGATTAACATAAGGAGGAAAAACAGTTGGAGGAGGTGCAGTTATATGTGGAGGAGGTCCTGGTGGTGGACCAGCCATATGTGGTAGAGCTGGTACACTTGGAGGAGCACCCATTGAAGTTGAGAAAGCTGCTGCATAACTTGCAACGGATGGGGGTGCTCCCGTGAAAGTCTGATAAGGAAATGGAGGCACATCAGAAGATGGTGGAGGTACTTTAATGTTAATGGGTGGAGGTTGATCTGGTGACACAACTTTTTCATTGCCATTGGATGTTCTTTGTACAATCACTGGAGATACCTGTGTTACGGACTTTTGAGCCTGCAATGGGGGGCTGTCTGGAGTATTGTTTGTGTCGGTCTGAGAGTAGAGATCAAGCACCTGTAAATTTGAGATGTAATGTAGATAACATTTCATATGCTTATCACTAGAGACCGCACTTCATTCGCACATGACGTCATTATCAGGGGCGGACTTAGGACGCTAAGTTAAACTCTGTAGAAACTGAGGTGCAAACACCATATAAAGAGTAAAAATCAAAGTTTTACCTTGCACTGACGATTTATAATATCCACTACGATTCATATTAAGTTTATTAGTTTACAAAACACTCTACACTGAGCTCTACACCTATCCACTTGCAGTGCTGAAGTAAAACTGAATAACCAGCAACTGCTGTAAAAGTTCAGGTGTTAGGTTGTGGCGTTTATCGCTAAAAATCCATTTAAGTTTCGAAAACGTACGTTCAACGTCGACAGATGTTACTGGGGCATATTTAAAGTATATATAATTTTCAACGGATGGCATATTTAGGGTGGATTCAGAAAAATCTACTTCTTTACCTTCAAAAAGATCTACTATGCGACATACAGTTAGAAATCCCGGATTGTCCTGCAAAACGATATCAATTTTTTTCTTCACACGTTCAGCACTATGTCCTGACAACTGGGAAATAAACTGTCGCAAGTCTAAAACATTATTTACTGCGTTATTTACTGAATATTCTGATGATGTCACAGTTACTTCAAGACGGCAAACTGGCGGTATTCGTGAATAATTAAAATGTATGTATGCTAAATCTTCACGAAGTGTAGGATAGTTAAATATCCTTTGAGCACATAAAATAGAAGTAGCATCACTTGAATCAAATTGCTGTATAACCCTTTTTATGCCGTCAAAGTGTACGTAATAAGATGTTGCGTCTAACCACGTACCCCAACGTGTCAAAACAGGTTCTGGAGGTAGTGGTACGCCTGGAAGAATTTATCTGAACAAATTTATCCGGGCTGGTGCTTTCAAAAATATTTTCTTAACATTAGCTATCAATTTGTCGACATTGGGATAGCACTCTCTAATCGTCTCGGCGACTCTATGTAATCCATGTGCGAAACATGTCACATGCAACGCGTTGCAGTAGGTATCGCAAAGACGTTTCCCAGCTGCTTTCATGTACGCAGCCGCATCCGTTACAAAAAGCAGCACGCGGTCTTTCTTGGCTTCATAGCCCACAAAATTTTGAGACTATCATCTATCAATAAAAACTAACACTTATAATTAAAAATATGCATATACACCGTACTGTTACTGGACAAGACGCAACGTTTCCTTACGTATGATTAGCATGCAACTGATTTGATGTTGATGATTGATGCATGATTTGAACGGCCCCGTCTAATAGGAATGAAATCCGTTCCCCCTGCCCGTCGACCCACTACCATGACCTTGACACGTGCGGGGTAAATAAACATGGTGCTTTTGTCGACTAGCCGGCACTATTATTATTTTGTGAAGAATGGATGAATATTTAAATATTGAGATCGTCGGCTGAAGTACGGACCTGAGACGTGCGAACGAAGTGCGGTCTCTACTTATCACATATAATAGGATTTTCCTTCACTATTTTTGAAGATACAGGGTGTCAAACTTTAATTTAGGCTGTGACATTTTTTGAAGGACTGTTGTAAATAAAATTTTGATGTAGGACTTTGGCTACTATACAGTATGTCCGCGGATTGAGTTTACAAGCGGACAAACGGACCAAAAAGTGAGATACGAAAAAAAGGCATTCTTGATCAAAGTTTTTCCTTGTTTAGAAAATATGAGTCACCATGACTAACTTCAATTTAGTTGTACAGGGTGGGTCAAAAACACAAAAATGTTATTTTGCGTAAGAGTAAACATACTTTATTTTGCAAGATATGAAAAAAGGCATTCTTGATAAATAAAAGTTTTTCCTTAATAATGAATAAGTCGTGTTATCAAAAACTTAATTTTTTATACAGGGAACAAACTACAAAACTAAAATACGTCTTATTCAAATGTAATTTTTAAATAATATGAACATAATTACAACAATTACGCTAAAACAAGTAAACAAAGCAATATGATGAAGATATCAAATCTCAAAAATGCCACTCCCATATTGAATAAATTTTTCTAATTGCTTCCTTAGATATCTGAAGGAGTTTCTGATTTTTTCCTGGGATATTGAACAGACAGCCTTAAGTAATTCTGCCTTTTAGCATTTCAATATTATTTGGTATTAGAGTAGCATAAACAATTTGTTTTAAATGGCCCCGAGAGAAACATATCGGCTATGGTTTAGTCAGGGCTCCTTGGGGGCTACAAAATTGGACTATTTCTACCAATCCATCTTGGACCAAATCCATGGTTAAACCACCCTGTTACCTCAATAGCGCAATGTGCTGGACAACCATCCTCTTGAAAATATATATTTTGGCAAAAATTTAATGGTAAATTTTCGAGTTCATCGCTAAAAAATGTATCAAATATTTCTAGGTACCCTGATTAGAGATGTGCTAGAGAATACTTACTTAAATTTTTGATAACATGACTTTCATTTTTCAAGCAAAAACTTTGATCAAGAATACCTTTTTTTCGTATCTTTCACTTCTTGGTCCATTGGTCCTCTTGTAAACTCAATCTGCGGACGTACTGCATATTGCCGTCTAGATACTTACACGGCGTCCTGGGTAAGCGGCGACAAACGGCCGGTGCGGCCGGTGCGACCGGAACGGCAGAAGCAGTGATTTTCAAAATTAGAGCATCATAGGTTCTGTCCTACGTACGAGGTACCGCCCAGCACAAGCGGCTCGTGCGGTTTTCATGCGGACGACGCAATCAAATTATTTGATAATTCCGCCTCTGCCGCTTCAGTTTACATTTTTAAATCTTAAAAATTATATGAGAATTATATAATCGACCATTCGAGAGAATGGACCTGCACTCTTAACAAAAATAGACGTTAGCATCGCGTCGGCCATTTCAACCGCGTCGAACGCGCCGGCCGCACCGGCCGTTTGTCGCCGCTCACCCAGGACGCCGTGTTAAGATTTAGTATATTTAAATGAGTACAATACTACTGACCTGATGGCAAATATCTTCCAATAACTCCATTGTAACATCTTCCACAAACATATCCCACCAACGGATATGTTTCGAATTTCTTCCAATCCAATCCACAACCTCAAATTTACTTAATTTTCCTGCTAGGTACATTAATGCTACAGCTATAATTTCTGGCTCCCACTGAAGGGCTAATGTGGTACAAAGGCTATCATTTACAAAAGTCCATGCCATTTGTACCATTTTTTGCAGTTTTACCTTATCTCCCTTCAAACATTTGGCATATTTTAATAAGTACTGATAAGGGTGCTCTACTTGCAAATCAAATTTAATAGTTTGCAGTAAAATTCTTTCTAAAGTCATAACCTATGGAAATATACTAAATTAATCACATAAATGACCAAAATTAGTTTGCACACCTCTTCTTTTGGATCTTCACCAAATGTAGCAAATTTTTGATCTGTTAATAAACTCCTAGCAATTTTAATTATATCTTTGCACTTCTTCGGAGTCTCTTCTACTTTTCCTGCCAAAAATAAACAGCAACATGCTGTTACATATCTAGGGAACTGTTTGAATGAGTGAAACATATAAAACCGATGGTAATATACAACACCTGTAGCCATAGTATTGTAACCAAGGTCCATTTTAGACCCTGTATCTATGATTAATCTAGCTCCTAAAACAAATATAAAATAATAATTTACCATTAATAAAATAAGTCTTTTCACATTACCCTCCTTTCGATAACGCATTTCAGTTTTGTAATCAATTCCATCTTGTGCAGAAGGTGTATTTCTCAGTTCTTTTTTGTCATAATACCACCCAGGCATTATTGTTGAGTCGAAATTGGTTTGAAATGTAAACTGCTACACTGTATTACTTTATACACAAAGATTTTAAGATATTTAACATAATTGTTTACCATCTATTTATACTTAAATGCTGTACATTACATTTATTTAAAAATTATATATATACTCGTAATTCAATAATCCTATACAAATGTTCAAATACAAAACACGATATTATAAAGAACCAAAGAAATAAATACAAATTATAACACTGACAGGTTATTAATTATAGGTTAGGTTCTAGCATTTTAACCACAGACTACCTAGACTGGCCGTATCTAATTCCAATTCACGGGTACCAGTGAATGCAAAATCCGGGGTAGCGGAGTGTGGAAGGTAATCTGATCGCGCGCAACTTTAAGCAGATCCGGATTAAGTAATATTTTTATTACATATTAAACATTATTTTGCATCTTATGACAAATATTCAATTTTAAGTTTGTAATTCAGAAAATAGTATATTTTATATATATTAAATAAAACTACAAAATAATTTAAATATATTTATTGCCCTCTAAATAATTATTAATTTATTTAATATTCGCCTTTTCGTAGATTTTACCGAATTAAATAATTTGACTTCATGATTTATTCGTACATCGATATACTTTTCACATTCAGCCCTTACAAGTTCTATTAAATGATTACAATTGTTAGGCAAATTATCAAATATGTTCGCATTCAGAAAGTTTTTTAATACATGATAAACAATTTTATTTTTCTGTAACCTAGGTGTTCTGCTTTCATCATTATTAAAAAAATTTATGAACTTTTCTGTTTCTTGGCATATTACTACGACATCTCGAGATGGATACCTCAAACAACCACGATCTTTAATAAAAACTAATTGACTGTACGAATACTGTGTATTTGACATTAAACTATTTACACAGTCTTTATATTTTATTGGCTTTATTAGAGAACTTGTTATTACAAAACCGCCAATATATACTATAATGTACTTGCTAATTATTTTTTTTGTCACAAAACTCTGATTTTTTCTAATCACATTTTGTCAACTCTCCGTTTCCAGGGTATTGAACATAAACTTGCAATTAGTTTTGTTTGCGATTTTTTCAATTGAAAAAAATATTTTATTCATTTTCAGCTATCTCGAAATGACGGGAATTGGTCAAATTTCAGTTAAGTGCGAACAGCCGAGTTGAGCTGACGTGTTTGTTTGTGAGGTGAAGTGATTGCAACGAACAAAATCTACCTGCTTTTATTAAGGCTACCTGGAAAGAATCCCTTTCTTTCCTTTTAATCACCGACCTAATCCCCGGCTAAGCAT